GCAAGTGTGTAACTATTCCGTTCTAATTTCGCCTTAATTACAAGATATTTTGCGTTCGAAGACTTTAAAACATCAAGGTTATTTTGTATTAAAATTCTTTCATGCATTAGTGAATCATTAGTAGGATTTTACAGCTTGATACAGACACTGAAGGTAATCCCGATTTTTCATTGGTTGTCTGCATTTTCAAATATAAGTAGAATTATAGTATTTTTTTAATACCTTAGAAACACTGAGAACTGAAATAAGATTATGTAGAGGTAAACGATGACGATTTTGGACTCGAATGGATTGAAAAAGTCTAGGAGAAAAAATAATCTGAAGTTACGTAAAATACTCGTGACCGTAGGATTATTATTCTCAATATTGATGTAAAAAATTCATATCAGGAACTTAGATGGAAATTTTCTTTTAAATAGCACCCAAGTATTATTACTTTCGCTTAAAGAAAATTGTGAAATAATAAACAGGAGGTAAGTAAATTATGTATGCTTTTATATTTTCTTGTTTGTAATTACACATTGTTGTTGTTGTTTATTCTGTTGGTGATTTATTCATTCTTATGTTTTGAACAATCAGTTCGAAATATTAGTTCGAACTATCGATTTTTTTGATAACTCTGAATAACGTCGACCACTTATCATCCGTCGCATTGACGCGGTTCCAAAAAGGGACCGTTGTTAAGATTTTAAACTGTACAATTCCGTAAAGCCTTGATGGCAGCTTTTATTAGCATCTTAGTTTTGAAATATAAATTTTTACTTTTAAAATTATAGAGATTGAAAATGCTGCTCAACTACTAAATACTTTTATCGCAAACTTTCAAAAGTATCTTAATTTTAAAATGTAAACTTTTACTTTAAAATTGTTAGAATTAAAAATGCTGATTGCTGAAAAAATTTGATCAAAACTTTTTTTAAGTATCTCAATTTTGGAAACATAAACTCTTGCTTTAAAATTGTAGAGATTGAAATTACTGCTCTTTTTAGATAATCTTTAGTCACAGTCTTTCAAAGTATCTTAATTTTAACTATAGCTGTAAAGTTATAGGAATTGAAAGAGCTGTTCTCCTGTAAAAATCTTTGATCTTGATAACAATATCTTAATTTTCTTATCGATTAATATGTAGTTTAACTGATCACAAACCTATAATTTGTAAACTCAAAATTGAATATATGCATAGTATTGATGCAAGAAGTCAGTTAAGTCCTAAGTTAAATAACAAGCACAAATTTATCTATCCTAACTGTCACCTTTAAAACTTCCTCTGATACCCGGATCGCGCGCTTGATCCCGAAAAAAGAATTTTCGTAGGATTTTATATATTTTTTACAATGTGGTTTTCCTCTCCATGTAACACAAATGAGAGTTATTTCCATCAAAAAGTCCTCCACAAAGGCAATTTTCTCCCAATATTTAATCCAGGAGTTCCCTTGTCTTCACAATTGGTTTTAAAATTAGACGGCTACACATTCATAGTAGTAGATAGTTAATAGGTAGTTGCACATTGGTAGTTGTAAACTCAAAATTGGGTCGGCTGTTCAGCCGCGGTTATAAAATAAAATATATTTTATAATTAGCTGTGGTGGCTCAGGGGATAGAGCATTCGCCTTCTCATGAGGTGACACCGGGTTAGAATCCCAGCGATGACTGGTCTATACGAATTCAGCAGCGGGCTCGAACCAACCACAGTTCTGACGCAAAATATTCTCAATAGTGGTCTAAACGAATCATCGGTTAGAGTCTCCTTGCCGTCAGACTAACCGTAAGAGCTTTTCGTGGTTTTAATCTCCATGTAAGGCAAATGCATGTTAGTTCCCTCAACAAAGTCAACCATGAAGACAATTTTCTCCCAATATTTAATCCAGGAGTTTATTTATCTTCTGGATAGGGTTCAAAATTACAAGGCTGCAGAGTTGAACATTTGCAGTCGCAAACCCAAAATTTGCTCGGTTGTTCAACGACGGTTATGAAATTGGAAAATATATTTTATAATATCATTGATTTGCTAGCTTGCAGCTCTAATCATTCAAAAATAATTCTTCTGAATTATTTATCTTGGGTTTCCTATGTTAGATTCAAAATCAATGTTAATAATTTGGTTACTTACAGGAATAACGCCCAAGATAACCACGCCCATCCAAGCTCCATTCGAGTTCAGTTTAAATTTGAATTTAAAATTACAAGTATATTTATTATATTAATACTCTTTCGTAACATGTTTCGATAAACTTTATTCAAAGAAACTCAACAAGAAGTAATGAAATAAATTTGAAGCTATCAATTAAGCCATGGAAAAATTATGGTTAAATTATTATGTTGTTGTTTTTAATTTACGTCACACTAGAGCTGCACAATGGGCAATTGGCGACGGTTTGGGAAACATCCCTGAGGGTGTTCCGAAGACATGCCATGACAATTTTGATCCTCTGCAGAGGGTATGGCACCCCCACTTCGGTAGCCCGACGACCTGCACGCGACGTCGAGCATTTTACGGTAGAACAATTTAACGAGGACCAATACCGCACACCCTCGGTCCCTAAGCAGACTGATCCAAATGGTCACCTACCCACACACTGACAGCAGCCAGTGGTGCTTGACTTCTGTGATCTGCTGGGAACCGTGTCTTAACAATCAGTCCACTGCGGGACGTTAAATTATGAATATCAGATTTTAAGTGATACTATATGTAGAGTTTTGGTGAACTTGTATCTCAAATTATGGTAAATCTAATGGCATGAAGATGCACCAGAATGTATATATCAAATAATAATAAATAAAGGTTGTATGTTAGGTATCAGTCATAATTTCTCAACCAAGCCAGCTTTGTTTTAAATAGATTCGTTCTCTGCACAATCACATGCAAAATATTCAAAGAAGCAAACAGAAAATATAAACATCAAAATTGATGCCATTCAATTTCACTTCCTTTAAAAAGTTTATACATAATTTGTTGCCAGATGCATTTAAACGAGAAAAAAAATTCTTTTTAGCTCGAAACTACATTGTTTACATTTAGTTTTGACGCTTTCAGTGCACTTCCGGTGCTTCGGAATCTCACTTCCGGTTTCTAAATCAGCTATAACTTTGCTTCCAATTATCAAAATTTTCGAATTTTTTGATGAAATTGGTCATTTTAAGCCAGGCAGATACCTTAAAAGGTAAAAAAAATAGTCCCAAGATTTCTAATTTTGATAAATTAATAATGAAACATTTCGTGCTAAATATATGTAACACATTGCGTTGCCATGGCCATGATATTTATAATAATTATTTAATGCATGTCTTGATAAAATAATAAATAGAAATAAAAACATAAAGGTAAAATCATACCTTAGATCATACCATACGTTTCGATATTTAATGAAAAGAATAAAGTATAACTGTCTTAGGATTCAATTTTCCTTTATGATGCCTTAAAAAAGTTTCACTGAATAATACAAAATATGCTCTTTAAGGAATTTAACATCTAAGAATATTTTACTTGATTATACAAATTTATGTAATAAACTCCGAAAGAGTTTATCACTTTCTTCATTAAATTTACTTGCCTGCAGTAAACCTTCCTCTTAAATTTTCGTTTTTATGACAACGTACTGGGGAGATATTTTTATGATACGAAATGTTTGTTGCGAAAATCGATAAAACAGTTAAGAATAATGGAATTAGAAGAAAGAAATTCTTGATTTTAGATTATAAAAGTTAATTTCAATCACAAGTAATGTAATGCTAATGTAAACAATCAATTCCCCAGTTACAATTGGCAAGAATTTAGGTTGTATCAGTGAAATTTTAAGCTATACAATGATTAGTGGTAATTAAATTGTGTTTCTAAATTTCATCGTAAAAGTTGCTAACTTAGTAAAATGTTGGAAATTTTAGAACTCAGTAAAGCCTGAATTCAAACTTCTAAAGCGTTGAAACCTTGGTTAAAGATTTTCTGTATTCTCGGTTTATTTCTTTTTGATGTTTTTAATATAGTTATTTATGTGTCCACACATTTCAAATGGGACTAACTCGGTGGCAGATGAAGCAAGCTTTGTTCACTAGTATAGGATAGCGAAGTAATCTTTATTGGATGGTTAACATTAGCGAGTATGGAGATGAACTAACTAGTATTACAGAATAAATAAAACAGAAATAATTAGAAATCAGAGAAATACTCTATTTATGAATAATAGAATTGGAATACGCTTGAATATCCCTAAGGATATTGAAGGCATATACTGGGGTGCCGGTGCGACTACCCTTAGATCTACTTATCAGGCACTAATTAGACCTATACTTGCATATGGCATCCAAATCTATATTATATGAAACGCTAATACGTATGTATCAATAAAACCGATGATATTTCTTTTCTCGCGTTGGCAACAGTTTTAATTTTTAATTGCTAGGATTCGGCGCGCAAGAGCACGTAGTGAGCATCATATGGCTAATCTATATTATATAAAACGCTAATACGTTTTAATTGATAGGCTTCGGCGCGCAAGAGCACGTGGTGAGTATCATATGTCTAATAGGGTGAATTCACACCGAATTATCAAAAAATTCTCACAAAATTATCTTCATCGAAGCTGATGCTTTACATCCGGCGTTCAGTACTATTTCATATTGTTTTACATCACATGGTTTTAGCCCTCTGGTGGGAAAGACTTCCCTTATGAAAATTTAAGGTATATTTAAGGTTGATTTGAGGTATTAACATACCCTCTAACTGCTACGAAATTTCCGTAGTTGCTACGGAAATTGGAGGTAAACTACGGGGCTACGGGTGAATAGTAAAATACTACGGATTAAACGAAAGCGCCTGTCCGATCTATCCGCTTCCGCTGTTGTCGTCTTTCAAGCATGGTGACGTCACTGATTGCGTATCGCCGAAAATGACGTCATGAGTTGTTAGCCTTGGTCGGGAGAAACCACGTGATTATGAAGGGTTACTCATCGGCGGCGCCATTGTAATCTGCCTGAATGCAGCTGGTCTTTGAGAAACTGCGTTAGTTTTTTGCTTTACACCGTGTGAAGTGAAGTGACTTCAATAAAAATTTTTGAAAACAACTTTGAATTTTGCTGCTCCGATGTTAAAAGAATGATACGTTTTTGTTTGAAATTTTAGATTATTTTTCATCCAGCTTTTATCGCGTTAGTTTATAAGTTGTGTATGTATTATTAAATTTTATTGTGATGGATCGTTATTTGAAAAGATCTAATCAGGATCGGGAAGTTTCTAATGACGATGGATTACGAAAGAAGAGGAAGAATAATCAAAAGTTTAGAGAGGAATATACTAAAAAGTTTCCTTGTTTAGTATCGGGAAAAGATGGCTTTGCGAAATGCAATATTTGTAGTTCGGAATTCTCAATTGTCCACGGTGGACTGGATGATTGTCGCCGACACGTGATCGGTCCTAAACATTGTGCTACTGCAAAAGCACAGGTGCATCAGCAACCTATTAACAATTTTTATTCTTCCAAATTAGAAGAAAATGGAGTGATTAAAGCTGAAGTATTGTTCGTACGGTTTTTAATTGAGCACAATATTTCTCTATCTGCTTCCGATCATTCTGGCGCCTTATTTAAAAAAATGTTCCCAGATTCCGACATTGCAAAAAAGTATGGATGTGGACATACCAAGACCCAGGCAATAACTGTTTCCACTGCTGAGGGGATAAGAGAGAGTACTCTAAGTAAGCTCAGAACCTCATTATTTTCTCTTTCCACTGACGGAAGCAATGACATATCAGATAAAAAGCTATATCCTTTAATTTTTAATTATTATGATGAAGAAAAAGGACAAATCGTATCATCACTGGTTTCTTTATCTGAATCAACTAACAACACTGGTGAGGGAATTTTTCAACTTCTTGATGGAGAGTTTAAAAAATATCTACTGAAGTGGGAGAGTTGCATAGCATTCAGTTCTGATAATGCTAACACAATGGCTGGATGTAATAAAGGTGTTTTGAGCTATATAAAACAGAAGCAACCAAATATAAAATTCATTGGATGCCCTTGTCATTTGGTTCATCTAGCAGCTCAAAAAGCTACAGCATCATTGCCCGTTGATGTGGAGAATTTGGTGATAAAAGTTTTTTACTACCTTGAAAAGAGTAGTAAAAGAAAGTATGAATTTAAAAACTGTCAGATAGAATGTGATGTGAAACTTCACAAGATTTTAAAACATGTTTCAACTCGGTGGTTAAGTTTAGAAAATTCTCTAAAGAGACTAGTTGAGCAGTGGGACCCATTGCTAATTTTTTTTTCACAATCTGATGTTAAAGAGAATGCTACCTCAGAAAAAATAAAAGAGTTACTTAAATCAAACAAAACAAAGATATATTGTGTTTTTGTTACATCGATATTGCCTGTATTCACCAAGGTAAATGTTGCCCTGCAAAAAGAGCAACCTTCTATCCATACTTTGTATGATGATTTAATGAGCTTATATTATGAGCTTCTTGTACGATTTGTTTCGCCTTCTACCATAAGCAAATCCAAGTCTTCTCTGTTACAAG